ACAGATGGTGAAAATGAGCAAGAAACAGAACTTGGGGATATGAATGAGCCAGCTACAATTGGTGATGAACCAGATGCTATTAGTTTTGAGCATGGGGAGTAATCCTTTCTACCTGAGAGTGTTGAGCAGGGGGAACTACCTTCGACATCAAGTGATGTAAAATCTCAGCCCAAGAGATCTACTAGAGAGCGCAGCCATCTACCAGGTATCCAAGTTCAGATTTTATTTTAGTTACCAGTGAAGGAGAGCCAGAAAGCTTTTAAGATGTACAGGCTACTCCGGATAGAGAGCACTGGTTAAAAGCAATGAAAAAAGAGATGGAGTCATTGCGAAAGAATGATACTTATGATCTTGTTAAACTTCCCAAGGAAAAGCTTGAGCTTTGTAGTAACTTGATCGAAATGAGTTTCCTGGCCAAGGTAAGTTCCAAATGAAACTGCTATGGTGATGAATCTCCTCCTAATGGGGCTAGAGGGGGAGATTGTTAGGAAAATGGGGTCCAGTCCCATGTAAGTGGTTTTGGACCAAGTAAAGGTCATGGGCCTTGATCTTTTATTTTACACAGAGCCCTAGCTACTTAATAAAAAAGAGGTGGGGTTGTTTTAGGTGTGTGTCGAAAACCAAGCAGAGAAAGAAGAAAAGCCAGGAAAAGCAGAGAGAGAAAAAAGAGAAGAGAGAGTTGGTTAAACAGAAGTCGATCTATGGTCCGATTAAGTTAGAATCTTGTCAGGAGGTTTATGATTCAGAGTTCTACATTCTGAACTGTGAAGATCGGGTTTGAAGCTCTCTAGGAACAAATCCAGGGTGTATTTGTTGAGTCACTTATTTTGTGAGATTTTTTCAATTATTTCTCTAGTTGTTGATTAGCTCTAGTTTTAGCTAGAGAAGAACTTTATATAACTATTATTTGATAGTGAAGATTTTTTTGGTGGCCCGTGGTTTTTTCTCTCTACACTGGAGAGTTTTCCACGTAAATCTTGGTGTGCTTTATTTTTCTTGCGTATTTAATTATTGATTGTTGTCTATTGTTTCTGTATTGTTGTGATTATTGCTTCAGGCGCAACAATAAACAGTAACATGTCAAGTTGTAATTCCCTTCCATTGGGGCTGGGAATTTGCCCATCACCAATCTGGAGCCACCTCGCACCTTCTCTACAGCTTTTTTAACTGCTTCACTTGTCTCCTTAACACTTGCTCCTGAAACCTCCATTTTCTCCTGTATTGTTTTCGAAGCAGCAGTTATTGCTGCAGCAGCTTCATCCATGAAGCTCACCTTTTGCGAAAACCACACATTGTTTGATACAGCATCCGCAAGCATAAACCAGAAACTTTCTTCTTTGTGGAATGGGGAATAGAGGGCATGGGGAAGAGCACCTATCAGGCCATTGCCACGCTTGAATGTTATCCAAGCTTGAACTGTCACAATGTCCCCCTCTTGTATACCCTCTTCACCCTCAGTCTCACATGTAATGTCAACTGTTATGGAAGGCATCATTTCCAATACCATTTCGACATCTTGTACTTCAGCAGGAGAAAATCCAGCTGCTTGAGTTAGAAGTTCAGCACAATCCTCCAGTCATGTCTCGAAGTTCTTGAAACGTTCTCACCTTCTGCAATGGAGAATAAAAAAACTCTTAACCGTGAGATCAAATGGAATTAACTAAAAGTAAATAGGGGTTTAAGAAAAATAAAACCTCAAAGGAACTCTCTCTATTTTGTTCGAACAGATACTCCCAGTTTAAGGAAAGAAGTGGCATAGTTCATTTGAAGCTCCCAAAATGAGCAGTATCTTCCTACATATTTATCTTCCTATATATTTATCATTTTGCACCGGTCAAAACCTGGTTTTTGAGGGACATGTAGATAGGTTTCTCTAAGTAATCCAAGTGATACAAGACAAGAATGTTTCCTCTGTAGTTTGTACTGTAAACCAAAGTAGGATTCATATCAAGAAGGAAACTTAGATCTAGAAGATTTTATCAAAATTTTGGGCTATATACCCAAGTCCAACATGTATTTAATAGCTCAACCATAGAGAAAAAAGACTGCACCAAAGCTCATTACATAAAATTTCCTACATAGACTATCATGAAGATCTAGCTCCTATATTGACAGCTAGAAGGTGAAATGTTAAACAGTAGCATTCTTGATAACATTTGATTACTATCTTCATGCCCCTACCAACTATCTTCATGGCCAAAACAAAAAATCAACTAAAACCAATCCCAAAGATCACGAGAGTAGTGCCTTAGATAAGAACTCCTTGCATCAGACACGACAACCGACTTCCAGGAGCGAGAGACTTTTGATTACTTTTCGTTAAAATTAAAAAATAAGTTATATTATAAACTTATAATATTTTAATCTTTTTTAGTTGGTCTTTTTTAATGGAAATAAATTATCATTTCGTGTTTCTTCCTTTATTTTTTCTTCTTTTAAGTAAAAAAAAAATGGATTTATATATAGACCAAAAAAAAAAAGGAAAGATTTATTTCTAACTAACTTACCTCAAGTTTTCATGTTATCAAATAAATGAAAAAATGGCCAAAAAATAAATGCCCAAAAATAACATATTTAAATTCATTGCCAGCCAAAGAAAATAAATATTTCATGTTATCTTAAGTTACAATCATACTCAATTGATACATTATAATCAAATTTTTCACTAAATAATCAATTAACAAACTATAATATAACTAAATAATCAAACTTATATACAATGAAACTTAGACTTAAAATTTTATAATTTTAAAATCCCTTCTTGCTAATGAGTTAAAGCCTCATTGACATAAATATTTTATTGTAAAAAAAGTTAAAGAGTGATTTGTATTAAAACTATATAATTTCTGTCAAATTTATGCATAAAAATAAAAATTTGTAATTAAATATTCAAATTTAAATTTTACTAAACACATTGTTTCATTGAGTAATACTAATCAAAATATTGGCCACGACTAATGTGTCATGTTATTTTATTTTATTTTTAAATTTTAAAAAATTTATTTGTAAATAAAAAATGCATAATATTTTTAGAATTTTAATTTAAAAAATAAAAAAATCATAAATTCTTTTTAAAAAACAATTTTGTGCTAAATTTTTTATCTTTGGAAAAAGTAAAAAATATGTTTTTTCTTTAATTTTTATTTTTGAAGACTAAAAAAAGAAAAAAAAAACTAAAAAAAAAAAAAAGAATAGAAAAGAGAAAGAATGACAAAAAAAGCTAGATTAACATCGATCTGCCTATAAGTAGGCCAAATACGCCATTGACTGACCGTTTTCCTCCCTTTCTCTCTTTTCTCTCTTTTATTAAATTAAAAAAAAAAAAAGATTGATATGGTATTTATTGGTCTTATGATTTTATTTGCATTTTTAGGTCATGTCAACTTGATGTTAAGAATTTAGGTATCAAATTATTCATTAATCTAAAAAAATTAAATTTATTTTTGATGTATCTTAATATATAGATATTATATTATTAGTGAATAATATAATAACACCGTGTAAAAATAATTTTAAAATTTTAAAATCATTAAAATAAATATAATTATTTTAAAATTATTTTTTTATAAAATATCATTATATGATTTATTGATAATGTATAAATATAAATTTAAAAATTAAATACTACTATTTGCTACAAAAGGGTCCATTTCTGCTCAGTGCAAAAAAACATAAAGACTATTTTGCCTTTAAAAAGGGTAAATATAAATTAAAAAAATTTTCAAATGTTATTTTTGAATTTCGATAGTATTAAAATTCTCCAAACGCTACACCAAGCAAATGCTAAACATTTGAAGTTCCCAATGCATTCCTGTAATAAAAAAAAGGTTAAATATAAAAACTTCCTATTAATTATATATTTTAATCAGTTGGGTACTTAAATATATAAAATTTTTAATTTGATACTCTAATTTTTATTTTATCATCTATTTTGATACTTAAAATTAATATTTATAATTAATTTACTAATGTGATATAAATATTTAATAAAATATTAGCACATTTTAAAAAATTTAATGCACACCATATTATTAATTGACACATTCACATTAAAAGAAAATTTTTTAAAAAATTTACAAAAGTTCAAAAAATATTTTAAAAAATAAAATATTTGTAAAAAATTATAAAAAAACTAAAATATTTAAAAATTTCAAAAAATATGAAAACTGAAAAAATTCAAAAAATCTCAAAATTTTAATAAAAATCCAAAAAATTAAAAAACTTTATGAAAAATTCCTAAAAAATAAAATTTTAATAAAAATAAAATTTTCTTAAATTAATTGAAAGTAAAAAATTTTAAAACTTTTTTGAAAAAATATAAAAATTTTTTAAAACTTGTAATTTTTTTTAAAATTTTGAAAAAAAATTTAATCTTACAATTTTAATTTTTATATCTTTTATGAATTTCTCAATAAATTTTATATTTTTGGATTTTTATTAAATTTTTAAGTTTTTTATTTTTCAAAAATTTTTTTAGAATATTTTAAAATTTTAAAATTTTTTAATTTTCACAACTTTTGAAAATTTTTGTGTATTTTTTATAAATTTTTTAGATTTAAAAAAATTATTTTTTAATTTTCAATTTTTTTAAAATTTTGTGATTTTTAATAAAATTTTAATTTTTTTGAATTTTTTGGATTTTTTATTAAAATTTTGATATTTTTTAAGTTTTCATAATTTTTTTAAATTTTATAATTTTAAAAATATTTCTTCTTTTTAATTTTTTTATAATTTTTAAAATATTTTAGATTTTCTTAAAACTTTTTAAAATTTTGAAAATTTATGTAATACTGACATGATAATTAACAGTGTGACATTAACTAAATTTTTTATGTATATGAATATCTTATTAGATATTTATATCATATTAATAAATTAATTAATGATATTAATAAAAGATATCAAAATAAATTATAGAATAAAAATTTTAATATCAATATGATAATTTTATATATTTAAATACTAAATTGACAAAAAAAATGTCTAACATAGAAGCATTTTTATATTTAAACCTAATAAAAATCCCTGTGCAATATCCTTCATTCTCGCTCTCTCTCACTCTCTCGTCTCAACAAGGTCCAAGGGGCGCTCTTATTTATCTCTTTGAACCAGACCGAGCCAATCGACGAACAACCGCCAGCGAGACAGAAGCATGGCCCCACCAACGGACCACCAGCACCATCAACTCCACCGCAACCTCACCAACTTCCTCCACACAACCACCACGTCTATCTTCTCTCTCCTCCCCACTACCAAAACGACACCGAACCTTCCACCTTCCAAAATATCCACTCCTTTCCTATTTGCGGACTCGCCCTTCCGCCTCACTCCTTCGCCCTTCGAGTCAACTCAGCCCGACTCCGTCTCTTCTAAATCCACAATCAAGGGCGTGTCTTCGGCCGAGTCAAGCTCCGGCTTCCCATCAACGGTCAGGATTGCTGGACTTACTTCCTGTGGAAAGAGCGGTGGCCCCGCCTTCGTCGGCCAAGTCTTTAGCATGTGTGATCTTTCCGGGACTGGTCTTATGGCTGTTTCAACTCACTTCGATATTCCCTTTATTTCTAAGAGGTCTTTACTTTAATTAATCTGTTTCATTTCCTTTTTTTTTTAATATTAGCTTTGCAATTGATAGAATTTGATAAATTATCTCAGAAATAGTTCATTTTTTGGCTCAATAGAACAGTTTTTTAACGAATTGTTTGAATTTCGGATGTTATTTTGTAAATGTAAGCCGTTGTTAAGTACGGTAAATGCACATAAGAGAGTTTTTTTGTTTTGCATAAATTTAATGCATTTTATCTCTATTGATGTATAGAACACCGGAGTGGCTTAAGAAGATATTTGCTAACATTACTAAGAGTGAGAGGAATGGCCCTGTTTTTCGTTTTTTCATGGATTTAGGTGATGCAGGTACCGTTTTTTTGGCTCTGAGCTTAGTTTTTATTAATCAATTTAGTCAAGCTGCTTTTGGTTGGAAAGAACTTGCAATCTGACATAATGTATTTTGTTTTAGTTTCTTATGTCAAACACCTTAATATTCCGAGTGGGGTGGTAGGCGCTTGTCGTCTTGATTTGGCATATGAACATTTCAAGGTAAAGTTAAAATTTTTTCAACTGGAGCCCTCTTCATGTCTATTGGATGTGAATTGTTGCTGGATTACTACATAAGTACTTTAACAGTATGGATATCAAGCTTCTAATCATGTTACTTGTTACGGTCTGCAAAACATTCTTCCTACTTTTCATTATATTAAACATGCTGGAGGACGTTATAAATCATATATATGCTATTTCTATAGCCTTCTCTACAACATATTGATGTTGCAAGAACCATTCTTCTTCTGATTTCTCCTGTTGTTCCTTGTTATATATGATGCTTGAAAGTTACTGTATGTGAAATAAGAATATCCTGGTCTATGAATGATCTTGTGGGAAATTGAAAAAGATTTTACACTTAATGAAGTGTATATAGGGAATATAATTTATATAGTCAACTTGAATGGTTTGAATATGCTTTGGTTGATTGGAGTAACTTATCTTTCTCCACGAGTATTGTATTATATAATGTATGACTTCCCTATTGTGCTGTATCTGCTAACCAAAATTTTTACTTACTGCACTTGTTTGTGAATTTACATTTTATGGAGTTGTTCCACATGCTAATTGTAACTTTCATCATGATACTCTCTGCAGGAAAAGCCTCACTTATTTCAGTTTGTTCCAAATGAGAAACAGGTACCATCAAATTGTTAGCATTTATTATATTAAAATTGTTCTTATTCTTCTCAATCAATTAGTTCTTATGGTATGTTCACATTTTCTTTTAAGGAGAAAACGTTTACTTTTACTGCTCTCACAGGTAAAGGCAGCCAACAAGCTTCTTAAGACCATCCCACAAAATGGTGAAAGGAAAAAGGTTGATGGTGTTCCTGTTTTTGGTGCTCAAAACTTGGATATTGCAATAGCTACTACAGATGGGATTAAGTGGTGTGTTCTCCAGTTTTTCCTTTTATTAATTGAAGGAGTTTTGTATATTTTTATTCAATAGAATTCCCATCTTCTTCTCATCTGGGAACACAAAAAGCTTTAAGTTTTGTTAGTCTATATGATGCTTGTGTAGCTCACTGTTTCTTCCATCAGGTATACTCCGTACTTCTTTGATAAAAACATACTGGATAATATTCTCGAAGAGTCTGTTGATCAGCATTTCCATGCTTTAATTCAAACTCGGCACATGCAACGCCGACGTGATGTAACTGATGATAACTTGGCAGCTGAAGTGATTGAAGAAATTGGAGATAGCATGTGGGAGCCTCCAGAGGTACAGATTTCTTACTCCTTAAGTTTTGCATTATATTGAAAGTTAAAAAGCAGTAATTGAAGCAAACTGAATACGAAATATTTCAAGTGTTATGGATTTTAGAGACCTTGTGGGATAGGTGAGATAATGAAATGTTTCTGGTGTTATCATTCTCTTTTTACCCTATGTTCAAATTCTGGAGCCTTGTGAGAAAAAGACGGAGCCTTTGTAGGATTTAGAGTAGTATTTGCGAAAATCTTGTGGGACTCTCTGTCCTTGTTTTTTTTACTTGTCAAAGAATCCATACCTTGTTAGCATAGCTTAAGGACAATCAAAATAGACTTTCAGGAGAGATAGGAGACTATGTTGGATGCACCTTGTCTTATTTTTGTTCTTAACGGTAAAAGTGTGGTTATTATTTGTTTAACTGCTGTGATGTCCTTATCTCATAGGTTCAAGAAGTTTTGGATGAGATTGGCCATACTGCCATACCTTTGAGTGTTATTTCAAAGGCTGCTGAGATTCAGCTTCTCTATGCTGTTGACAAAGTACTCCTGGGTAATAGGTGGTTACGAAAAGCCACTGGCATTCAACCAAAATTTCCTTATATGGTTGATTCATTTGAGAGAAGGTAAACCATATATCCTTTCCACTTTCATTGTCATGCATTGATGTTAAACATTTACAACAGTGATGTATGTTTGCCTTAACTTCTTGAACCAAAAAGTTTCATTAAAAATAGAATGTCTTTACAGTTTGCCAAATTAACCTGTCATGTACCTTGTTGAGGTTTCTGAATGGTTAAATAGAGTTGACTTTTCACAAAGCATTTCACTATTTGCAATCTTTCATTTGCTCAGCAATTGGAAACAGGTCTTATATTCCATTTCTTGATTAATAAACTTGTTCTCTTAAGTACATCAGAATGAGGTGGTTAATCATTTTATTTTCATTTTTTTAATGTTGAAATGTCAAAAATACATTGGAGCCAGATCTTATTGTTGCTGGTTTAATGCAATGTTTACACTGTTGCAGGAGTGCTGCTTCTTTTCTTAGAGCCTCTGAGTCAGCCAGATGCCTTTCTAACCCTGGAACAGATAGCAGCACTTCAGAGCTCAAATCAGTCAATGATGTGAAAGCTGACAATGGACAGAGACAAGATTTCAGGTTTCCTTTTGGAGATTGGTTTAATCATCCATGGTTGAAACAAGAGGAGAAACCTAAACAGAGATCAGATGCAAGGTACCACCATAATGATTGTTCATATAAATGTCTTCATTATTTCATTCTTACCTTTTAAACTGATCTTTTGTTCTGTCAGAATGGAACGCTCATCAAAGGAATGGGAAAGGCAAAACTTTCAAGCTAACCCATTTCTTCCAAAGATTACAATGGTTGGTATCTCAACAGGAGATGGACAGATGAGCAAATCTAGTTTGAAGAAGACTATGGAAGATCTAACAAGGGAGTTGGAGAGGACAGATCAGGAAAATGGCACTGGTAGTGACATTAATGAGTTAAAAATTGAAGATAGAGATCCACTATTTGTTGCAAATGTGGGTGATTACTATTCAGGCTTGGCAAAGACTAGTTCGGCACGATGGATTCGAGGAGGAAACAACTGAAAAAGCCTCGATGATGCTTAGTTGGCGTGAATTTATTTACTAACAGGTAAAATTGTAAAGTTAGCAATGTTTTTTTTTTTTTTTTTGACATATCTCCCTCCAAGTCGAAGAAGCTAGATGTGCCATGTTGCATTCACATAAGGCTATATGTAAAGAAATAAGTTAAAGTGGTCTTTGTGATCAGTTGATTGAGCATATAGCATCCGTTTGGCTGGTAGTAATTTTGAAAATCGATTCCTTGTATAACAGAATAACCATTATTAGCTTTTCCTTCCAGTTTTACCTTCAGCCTGCAATGTAAAATAGGTGAAAAGTCGTGATTTTGTTGTGATTTGCAGGAAACTCTCATGTAATGCTTGGTGAGCCGTTTGTATTTTGTTAATTATGGAAATGCATCTTTTCATTTGGAAATCGTTTCTCTACAAAAATTGTATTTAGGTAAGACGTGCATTTTCCGTGAATGCGTAGTAAATCAAAATTACTCAATCTGAAGCCTGTCTGCATTTCTTTTTTTTTTTTTTACCATATTGAAAATTTTTTAGCAAATTAATGCACTCAACGGCTGATTTATCCCTATTGCTTGTCAGATAAACCCAAGTACCCAAGCAGCAATTGCAAGGAAAACTATTTGCCCAAAAATGTTTGAGGGTAAACTGACTAAGAAATTGCGAAATCCGAGGCAGATATCTATGTTTCACCAGAGCATACATGACGAGGGACAACAAACAATTGCAACCACCACCCAATAAAAAAAAACAAAAAAAGCCCACAAAGCCAGGACCTAGGGCTCTGGTTTACGAAAATATTTTTTGTTTTAATTTTTAATTTTTAATTTTTGTTTTTTACAAATTTATTTGGTAAATAAAAATAAAAATTAGTTTTTAGAAATGCAAAAATAAGAAAATAAATAAAATATTTAATGATATTATTATTAATGGCATCTAATTATAATATAATATATATTAATTAATTATAACATTAAAAAATATTTAAATATGATAACTTAAAAAAAATAAAAAAGATAACGAATATTCCTTGTTTTTATAATGAAAACATTTTTTTTTGGTTTTATATTTCAATCTATTTTCATTTTATTTTTTAAAAATTTGTTTTCATTTTTAATTATCAATCACGTTTATATTCATATTTTTTATTTTTCAAAAAAATGAAAATAGAAAATAACTTTATTTTCTTCTCTTTTTGACTTTTTTTTTTTTTTATCATGGACTGGATCTGCAAGAGAAAAGTTCTGGTAACATGATGTGTGCCATAGTGACCGCAAGTCGTAATCTGTTTCATTTATGGTAGAAAAACCTGCATGATATAACATGATGGACAAATGCACAAACAAAGACCAAAAATGTTTCAAAGTGTTTTACCTGTCACACAGTTATATAATCATAGACAAGAAGAAGAAGAAGAAGAAGACAACACGTGGTGACATTGTTGACTTCTCTTTCCTTGTCCTTGGGTGCCCCCATACTCCCCCTTTCCCTCTATCTGTCAAAACAAACAAGGATTCAGAAAATGGAGAGGGGATAGACAATGCAGAAGGTCAAAATAGAAAAATGGGGAGAGTGGGGATAAGTTGCATACAATTGTGATCTTTTGCCTTTTTTAGTGACAATTTCAAGATCTTCCTGCCTAACCCATAAAGCTTAACGATCCCTCTATATCCATTTTTCGTTCCTATATCTTCTCTTTAATCTATCTCTTCCACCATCTTTTTTTTCATCAGCTACGCAACCCACATCAACAAGACTTCTATGGTTGCATGATCCATGATAATCAATATTTATCTTATTATCTAGCTCCATAAAAAGGCACTTATAAAGCTATATTCTCTTTTTTTTCCCCAGTTTAATCTAGAACCAACTGAAATTACACCAATAGAATTTTGTCAAACAGTTAGTCTTTGCCCATGTAGTGATATACAGAGCAAGAATTTTTTTAGTCAATTCATATACTTAAACTTACTATAAAATATTTCTATATATTTAAAGTTATTAAGAATTAAATTTTGATAATTAAAATTAAAAATTCAATACTTTATTAATAGACTACACGATTAATGGTAACTTACTATTAAATATCAATCCTACTAATGTACCAAAAATCTGTTCTATTTTTAGTTTGAGAAATGATAATCCACTTTTAAATATACTTTTGCATGTTATGAGAACCATAAGTGCTTATGTCACGGATCGAGATTTAAGTTTCGAATCGCGCGATTTCGAGATCCAGACATTTATTCATCCGACGTCTTAGATCAGTCTTCCTATCATGGTTCACACCCTTGTGAGGTTTTATCTGCTTTGATCTCTTAGCCTCATAATTTTGTCTTATAAAATATGTCTCACAAGAAAAATATGGTGTGAACCTTTTTATATCCCAATAATCTTCTTATTATATTTGATATAAAATTCAAGACTCTTCTTTAAATCTGTGATACTTACAAATTAGAGAACATAACACTACACGTGTAAAAGTTATAGGATAGGTCTAAAGAATAAGGACTAATGAAAAATTGTTTGTGTATCTCCAATTTATTTTCTTTCAAAGCCCCCATCCTCAATCACTTGCATCAAAGTCTACACATATTTTCATGTTTTGAAATAAATTTCTTGTTAAAATAGACATTAGAACCACTTGATAAAAAAAAAAATAAAGCATTCATAGTTTAATACATTTAGAAAATCAAGAGTTAGGTGAGACAATTGGAAATGAGCTGTCTTTTTTTTTAATTATTATTATTATTTGCTTAAATAAATGGTAGAAGAATGAAAAACACTTAATTATTAGGATCAAATATTCATGAAAATATATAAAAATCTAAATAAAAAACTGTTAGTCAATCATTCTATTGAAATATTTTTCATGATACAGAGACGTTTTAAGGGAAAGAGAAGTATTGTTTTTTATTGACAAACGAACAACCAACCTAACAATAATTAAAACTTTCAGGAATATCAATTCATTCATTGATTCCCTAAACTAAGGATTTTTTTACCTCTCTTCCATCAAAAAAGAAACAAGAGTTCTGGACCTCCTCTTCCTCTCTCTACAAGGCTAGGTGAGGGAAATCAATGAATGGGTTTGCATTACAAAGTTAATACAGTGGATGTGGTCCCTTAACATTATCAAAAATATATATATTTGTATTATAATTGAGATTCAAATTCAAAATTTTTAATTTTAAAATTAATTTTAATATCACTCAATTGACAGTTTATCGATCATTGCTGTATAATATATATATATATATATATATATATATATATATTTAATTGTAAGTCTTCCCTTGTGTTGATTATTCTCATAAAAACTTCCATTTCTCTCCATTTTCTTTGCAGATCACAATGTGGCAACTCCTATTCATTGGCCAGAGCCAATAACTAAAAGAGATCTAATTTGAGTATAAGTTTTTTTTTTTTTTTTATCTTTTCAGACAAAACCCTTCTCTCAAAAGGGTTTTTTTTTTTATTTATTTTGTTTCCTATTTCCTTCCTTCCAAAAAGTGGGAAAGGGAATAGAATATTATTGCATACGGATATACCTTGTTTTTTAGAGTTAAACTTAATAATTTAAAATATAATACGATAATACGCCATGAGAATTATACAAATAAAAAATATAGATATAATATGACTTAAAATTTTTAAAAAATTATAAATAAATTTAATTAAATTAATAAATTATATTTTATATTTTTGTATCGATATAAATTATGACACATATTTTTTTATATAAAATACAACATAAATAAAATATTTTACATACAAAACTGTCTTAAAAATATAATTGTGGATAGCCTTTTTTTTTTTTTTTTTTTTTTTGAGCTAGCGCGGTGTTATTCTCTATTTGTATAAAGCAAAAAGTATCTTATGCAAGTAAAATATCAAAAGAAATTTATAAAAATTAAAATTGATTATTAATTATAAGCCTTTCATTCATTATACTTTTTTTTTTTTTTAAAGCGGTCAGAATTGCTTACAATCTGTAAGCTTTAAGTCTTACTGCTTCTAAATTATATTTCTAATATAAACTTCATAATTTCTACCGATGGATTAATCATCACATGATGATTCTCATTTCCATTGAAAGCCCAATTAATTATGAAATCAGCATAAAAATTAACTACTGATATTGATGAATAATCTTGTATTATAGGTCCCTCTCCCATGGGCCCAAAAAAAAAAAAAAAAAGTCCTTCTCCTGCAAAAGACTAGTAACCTTTTTCATTGGAATCATTACTTAAGTATCAAAACTGAAGATTATAATGGTTTCTGTCTTTTAGCAATCATTTTTTTTTTGTTTCACCTTGGATTAGTTGGTTTTATTCTCAGTTTGTTTAAGCCATAATTTACTTCATTTATAATTACTTACCTTTATATTTACCGGCATTTGATTAACAAATTCTTATATTTTGAAAAAAATTGATATTAAAAAAGAATGTGTGGTTCTTAAATTTTATTGACTTATAAAATATGCGATTCATATATTTTAATAATTTTAAAAATATAAGATTTTTGTATTTGATTTAGAAAAATATAATATTATTTAATAAAATTTTTTACTAAATTATTTTTAATAATACATGAAAAATATGTGATATTTATAACATATTATATTTAAATAATTAAAATTAAATATATTTTTTAAATTTAATATTTTTGATAAAAATAATTTTATAATCCTAATTATTATCCTTACGTTGAGTATTCTTATGGAGAAAAAATGCATGGATTAACCTTCGCAATAAAGTCACCATAAGGGTTAAAAAGTGATGATTAACCCTTCTCTGTATGGTTTCAGGGAGTAGAATCTTTGAAATAAATTTTATATATAATAATAAGTGGCCTTTGTTAAAATGTGGTCTTTATTATCTTAAAAATGTAGTTTTATTAAAATTCAAGAACTTAAAAAAAAAGTTTTGATATTCACTATATATTTTTATATTAAAAATGTGATTTTTATTAAAATTCTAAAAATGTAGTTTTATTAAAATTCAAGAACTTAAAAAAAAAGTTTTGATATTCACTATATACTTTTATATTAAAAATGTGATTTTTATTAAAATTCTAAAAATGTAGTTTTATTAAAATTCAAGAACTTAAAAAAAAAGTTTTGATATTCACTATATATTTTTATATTAAAAATGTAATTTTTATTAAAATTCTAAAATTTTAAAAATAAAATTTCAACTATCACTACATTTTTATATTAAAAATGTGATATTTGTTAAAATTTCAAAATTTCAAAAATAGAGTTTCGAGATCCATTATATTTTTATCTTAAAAATATAGATTTTGTTAAAGTTTCGAAATTTTAAAAATATAGTTTTAACATCCATCATATTTTTATTTTAAAAACACAATCTTTTTTAACATTAACTATGTTTTTTTTATCTAAAAAATGTGATTTTTGTTAAAAATTTAAATTTTCCAAAATATACTTTCTACATTCACTATTTTTTATCTTAAAAATATGATTTTTGTTAAAATTCAAGATATCAAAAATTATAATTTCAACATCCACTATGTTTTTATTTTAAAAACATGATCTTTGTTCAAATTCTAGAATTTTGAAAATAAAATTTTAAAATACAATATATTTTTATTTAAAAAATATGATTTTATTAAAATTTCAAAATTTTGAAAATAAAGTTTCAACATTTATTATGTTTTTTATTTTAAAAACTTAATCTTTATTAAAATTCCAAAATTTTATAAATAAAGTTTCAATACTTATTATTTTTTTTTTATCTTAAAAACGTGATG